CAGTTTGTGTGGCATTATGTATATGTATCATCCACGAAATCCAGACTATATAGAAACTTCTTATCTGTCCAGTCTATCTCTAACTTTTCGCTCCCCACACACAATCTGCCTCATAATCCGGTCCACCACAATTAGGAATACCATCGGTGATAACAGATAGACTTCGCTGAGTTTTCTGCTGAATGCGGTTGATAAAGATTTTGTGGCACTTACTTCAGCAAGATATGCTTGCTGTGTCAGATACAGGTGATCTGAAATGGTAGTCGGCAGATACATCCTATTCAAGGATAATGATAAATCCTTCTTTGTGCATCCTTCCAAAGAGTTTTAAGGAGCAGCGAGCAGTATGGATGCGAACAGGTGGTATTGGTTCAATCAGAAGCGCTATAACTGAACACCTCGTCAGTGCCTATCACAGCACGTCAATTGACTCATCTTTCAGAGTCTTTTACAAAGTAAACAAAAATATACCCAAGGAAGTTCGTTTTCGATTTTACCATACTACAGAAACTCTCTCCACATAAATAGAAACGTCTGAGCTATGTTTTGCGAAGAAACTAGTCCAGCTTCAACATTTACCATGGATCTTGTTCTGCTTGGCTCCTTAGCAGTTTTCTTTTCTTATTCCATCGTTTGGAGGATTTTATCATGAGCTGACATCAGTTAGAGAACCATTGGAAAACCAACTGAGTGTAATGAACGGCTGTTTCGTTCCAGTCTGGGGCTCTTCGTCAGTACGCACTCACCACCAGGGTTCAGACCCAGGAAATTCTGGTTACAAAGCCAGCCAGCTTCTAGACCATTAAGCAACTGGGACCCAACTCAGTGGCCAGCCCATAATTTCTAACTTCTGCCAATTCATGATATAGAGGGACCACTAGCCAATGGCTCCTTCTTCTATGAGTTACTACCTCACCTTCAACCTGATGTACCCTACTGGTCACTGTTTCCCACTAGAACCCCAGGTCAACTGTCTGAATAGGGTCAACTGCTGGTGAGTATTAGATAAATTTTCAAGTATTGGTTTTGTAGGGATCTTTTTGATTGGTTGAAGGATTTCATTATGAGCTGACATCAGTACTTATTGCTTTCATTTTTCCATCATTAGTTATAAAAAAGCTAGTATTCCACCTTTTTTTCTATGCGTTTCCCGTTTATAGTCGTCTTCGTAAAACGCAACTGTTTTCTAATCATATGCAGTATTGTGTTTTTGCACATTCTAATCTATAGTGACGCCTGCAAAGTTTTATATCAACTTGAAAATGATTATCTCAATTATTCTGCCTTTGTTACTATATTGAATTAAGTAATAATTATAAGTATGCTAAATTATGTATAAAAATGCAACTGTACAACTAACATCAGTAAAAAGTTTGAGCGTTGTGGATTAGATCAAATAAAGTATAATTATATTTCAGTAGTTTACACACAATGATAAGTTTTGTTATTAGTAATATTTCGAGCAAAATTACTGCCCGTGTTCACACCACTGTTGGAATTGGAATAGTAATAATAATTGGAATAAAACAATTCCCACAGTGGTGTGAACACGAGCAGTAATTTTGCTCGAAATATTACCAATAACAAAACAGTTATCATTGTGTGTAAGCAACTGTACAGCTTTAGAGGATGGAAACTATGTGAAGCCATCAAGAAAACTCCAGAAGACCTAAACTTCACGGGCGTTTTATGTACAATGTTACACAAACTTGAAAATCCACAAGCAAAAGGAAAAATTTGGCAGATGTCGCAGAGGAAACAATAATTCAGTTGAAGATTTGACAATACAGAGGTGATGAAGGCACTTAACCAACAAATACATCAACAGGCAGCAGTCACTATCGATACGAGAAATTCGAAGACAGTCACATCTTTCTCTAATTTAGGCCGCAGCGCTGATTAAGAAGTGAAATGCAGGATTGGAAAAGTGCAACAGGTATTCATTATTCTGAAATCAATGTGGACATCTGTTTCATTCAGCACTGGTGTCAAGACAGTCACTGCTTCTATGCAATAATAATGCGGTGACAGCTGTCTGCTAACCGAAATTGTAGACAACAACTGACGTCAATGTTTACGTCCCAAATCGGGATCATGAGAAAAAACAATAACAAAGCTTCCCCGTGAGGAACTCACGAACCAATCACAGCAAACCTAATGTGTGCAAATACGATTCGCAGATATATGGCCTGACTTTCTAAGAAACGATCACAAAGAGATGATAGAATAAGCTTCAGCAAGAAAGCAACCAATCAGAAGTTGTTGCTTCTCCGCTAACAATAATGTACGTAAAAATCTATAATTATCTGTTGATTTTCTCAATAAACGTTCTATTGCCTGTCCATTGTCTTCTGTCGTTATAATAATAATAATAATAGCATCTTTATTCTGGATAGTAATTATAAAATGTCTAGAATTTTTAGAGGAGTTCATTGCATGATATTTTCCTTTTGGAAATTATCTTCAAGTAAAATATTAATTGACAGTATATCCTCCCTGTGGCACAATGCTCTCTAAGCTGAAGCCCAAACTATTCCATCATGTGATATATCTGCTTTGTCTCCCTCAAAAAATGCACAAAATCTAGTTGAAAGCCAATTGTAAGATATTAAGAAGTACATTTTGAGACCCCAGGACGTAAGTGAAGAACATTTACCTGATATTTTGCAAAATGCTGCCATTCACAATCAGGCCATTTCTCAAGTTTAGTAGGAACTTGCGAATCAGAAGCTTGTAAACATTTTAGACACACATGAGTGTAGATAATACCAATTAGAGATCATATCTTAATCGATTAAAACAAACCAAACGAGAGAAAATATATACAGAAGATAGATAGAAGATTTTAGTAGCCCAAAATTTAAGCAGACTTGCCATGTGAGTCGCAAGAGCATTTCCAGCAGGCTGATGTATCCTTCCATCACTATCTTGATAAATGAGGAAATGCAACAAGGAAATCTGTCACTACGGGTGAACTAACCAAGAACATATCGATCAACAAATATTCAAATGAAGGAAATAGAGATGGATAGGTTTACACACTGAGTTATTGTCAGGCAGCATCACGAGCCAGGCTCTTGAGTGGAATCCGAGTGAAACATGATAAGTTGGATGTCTGGTGGTCACATAGAGGATGTCAAACTATGGTCAATCGAGGAAGCGGATGATGAGGATTACAAAGGACAGGCTGGTGAATCAATATGTTTGATCAGATTGTTCGAAATGTATAGCGCTAATACATCACATTTTTCAGATAATCTCCATCTTCTTATAATGCTATCAAAAAGAATCAATATGTTGCATTCAGATGAGAGGATGAAATCGCCGAAAAAGATGTCTTTGTCAAACTTCTTGTTCTTTCAACTGTTGCGTTTTGGGCATTTGGTTGATGATATGTTAGACCATAAATTGATACAAGTGAGAGGAATTTAGAAAACCAAAGTCAGTTATTGATTTTGTAAGGATTTTTTCGATTTAGATATAATAGAGAAGATTTGTAGCTCAGGTGGATGATTTTGGTGTGGTTGTGTTCTCTGAGCTGGATGGTTTGGTTGCGAAGCTTTCATTGCTCTACTGAGCAACATCTTCAGTGCATACTTCGATGTGAAGTGAGCTTTTAGAATTCTCTATGAGTTTATTAGTCATCTCTTCTAGAAACCTTGAACGTGATTGGTTGTTTTCGTGTGACATTTCACCCCCTAGTTTGCTTGTCTCGGTGCTGGCTGCTTCTTTGGTCTGAATGTCGTTAGTCATTCCTTCTGCTAACCTTGAACGTGATTGGTTGTTTTTGTGTGACTTCTCACTTTCTAGTTCACTTGTTTTGGTGTTGACTACACTACACTCAGTTCTATGTAATCCAAAGGACTCAACGGCAAAAGAAGACAAAATTAACGTCATCTACAAGATAAGTTGCAACGACTGCGACAAACATTACATTGGTCAAAGTGTACGCCCTCTTCGTCTTCGCATTCACGAACACAAACTAGCTGTCAAAAGACACGACATACACTCCCTCATATCACTACATGCAGACAACCACGGGCACCAATTCGACTGGGACAATGTTCAAATCTTAGACAAAGGGAACTGCAAAAATGCCAGAGAATTCCTAGAGGCCTGGTATTCAAATGAATCAGCAATCAATAGACACATAGAGATTGACAAAATATACCAATCCATACGAAGAAATTCACACAAAAACAAAGTCAAACTTCAGGTCAAGGAAACAGTCAACACCAAAACAAGTGAACTAGAAAGTGAGAAGTCACACAAAAATAACCAATCACGTTCAAGGTTAGCAGAAGGAATGACTAACGACATTCAGACCAAAGAAGCAGCCAGCACCGAGACAAGCAAACTAGGGGGTGAAATGTCACACGAAAACAACCAATCACGTTCAAGGTTTCTAGAAGAGATGACTAATAAACTCATAGAGAATTCTAAAAGCTCACTTCACATCGAAGTATGCACTGAAGATGTTGCTCAGTAGAGCAATGAAAGCTTCGCAACCAAACCATCCAGCTCAGAGAACACAACCACACCAAGAATTTTTCGATTGGTTGTAATTTAATCTGATGTTCACCAGCGACTGACCCGATTCAGGTAGTTAACTTGAGGTTCTGGTGGGAAGCTGTAGACCAGGAGGGTATAGCAAGTTGAAGATGAGGTAGTAACTCATCGAAAAAGATATTGCCAAGTGGTCGCACTCCCTCATGAATTGACGGAAGTTAGAATTCATGGGCTTACTGGCCATTGGATCGTGTCTCAGTGGTTGCTGAATGGTCTACGAGGTCGCTAGTCTTGTAGTCAGAAGGTCCTGAGTTCGAACCCCGGTGATGGGTGAGTACTGCTGAAGAGTCCCAAACTAGGCTGACGAAACAGCTGTTCACTACTCCCATTTGCTTTTCCAATGTTTCTCTAACTGATATCAGCTCATGATGAAATCCTCCAACCAATCAAAACCAAAGTCCATAATAAGACAGACAAAAAAACACATTCTGCATCGGTTGGGAATTTGTATTTTTCAGCATTTTTCTCCTAATAATATACAATTAAATTTATCAAATGTTTGAGGCGTGCATCTAAGCATGTGTATGTCTATATGTGTGTTGTTGATATATGGATGAATACTGGTGAAAAATGGAAAGACATTTTGTAATGAAGTAACGTTATATGAATTTATGTACACAAGAGCAAGGGAATCAAACATGTTGAATGGATATTTATATAAAAAGAGAGAGAGTAGAATGTACATAATGCGAGAGACAAGGCATAGCAGGCTCATTGGTCTAAGAGGTGAATTTATGTAGAAATAATATTAATAAAACATGTTTTTTTTATTAATTTGTGTTTGTTCTGTTCGACTGAAGGATTTGTTCACGTAATACATTTATCTCTTTACGATAATTCTTGATCACATTCATCTAAATTAAGGAAGGAGAGAAAACAATAATCTTTCCAGTGAGTAAATAGAATGTAGCCAATGTGTGATACAATCTAATTCTATATTGCATAAATTTATTTTATATAACACACCTTCAAGTGAGGGTCATAGTTACTCTTGACCACCCACCCGCGCTTATTTGAATATCTTCACTTTAAAATTCAGAGCACTGAGCAGAAATCACATTGCGTTATAACCGGTAAGTGGATATCGCAATGGTTTCTTTTAATTAGACAGTCGTATTCCCTTTTTCAGTGCCAGTTCTGAATTAGCCGTCTCGCGCCAAACATTGGAAGCACAGCCACTTGACGCAAAGCAGAGCAAGTTCACGCGCCATACCACACTAACAGCTGTACCGCCCTCGATCGATCACGGTCAGAGTCTAGTAACTTTATAACAATGCGCACTGAAGTACACAAAGCAGCAAAGAAACCAGCTTTCAACTGGACTGACACGTATTTGATCTCGGCTTGTCTGACTCGGCCCTTAGAGCCAATCCTTCTCTCGAAATTATAGATTCAATTCGCCAACTTCCCTTACCTAAAATAGTGCTAACAACTAGATGATAACACAAGCACAATTTATTTTCTTTAACGATTTGTTAAGTTGCCTTTCATGGTGCTGTTCTCTGCTATTTTTTCACTGCAATTTTCCATGCATCCGGAATGGGTAATGCGTCATAATGACTGCATGTGTTTGCTGTAGGTTTGATGAGGAAAGATCGGGCGATTAACCTGTCTCTCCACACAACTGTGTTAATGTTCAATAGGCTGAAATTACAAACTGGGTCATCAAGAAAATAAAAGACAGTTCAACGCACCTTTCAAACTCATTTCCTAAAATTTCCCGGCATGGGAAGGAAGGGGACAATATGAGATAATTATCTAATGGAATCAGTTCAAGCAGTTCCGTTATAGCCAATCCATATCAATTTCTTCATTATATATATATCACACAATGAAACAGTATTATTTACTGGATGAAAAGGTTTCGAACACAGTTTATAGTGGTTCATAATCATATCAATTATAATCACACGACTTAGAAACTTGAGTTTTATAGTTCTCTTTGTTCTCTCCTATTCGGTGTCGTAGGGGTAGTAGAATTTTCCAAATATCTGCCTCGACAGGTGTTGAATCATTCCTTTTACACATATTTGCAGTTGATTCGATAAACAAAGCTTCTGTTATTAATCTCTCCCTCCACCCTGTGACATTAGATTTTAAAAGTATCATCTAATCCCATCCATCCTATTGTATGGTTGTGTGTAATTGCATGTAGTGCTGCTATAACTGAACTATTCTCCAGATTTCTTATCTTATTAGTATCACCTAATCTATTATTTTGCTAGGTTTTTATGCTCCGCTAGTCTGATTGCCCCTGTTCTACTACTTTGACCTGACAATCATTCTCCCAGGCTATTAAATAAACTAAATTGTTTTGTTTTAAAGGCTCCACATGATTGATCCTTTAACCGACAAAGCTTGTTTCGAAATGAGTTTGTGGTTGGTTTGAATGCCAGTCACTTTTATTCCTGCATTGTTAAGAATTCCACGTAAGATTTCTGAGGTTCCTTCTTTGTATTGGAATGTCAATCACTAGTAGTACTATTGTGGTGAGAGCTGGCTGCTAGCCAAAGTTGGTAGACAGTAATCGACGTCAATGTTTATGTCCCCAATATTGGTGGTGAGAAAATGAGAACAAAGGCTTTGCGTAGGCGGATACAGTTAGCATATAGATGAACTGACACAGCCACAAAGAGATGCAAAGTTAACTTAATGTGAGAAACAACCAATCAACAGACTGTATTTTCTACTAACAATAATCTACAATAATGTACATTAAAATCTATAAATATGTGTTGATTTTGCTAAATAAACGATATGTTGCCTGGCCCTTGTCTTCTGCTGTTACAATATCACAATGCCCAATTTTGACACATATACCACAATAGTTATCTTTCAAGATTAATTACAAAATGAGACCGAGTGGCATAATGGGTGTCAGGTTTCGTCATCTGTGTAAGGCAAAGGCAGTGGAGATTCATCAATATAACCCCAAACTCTGGGTTCAGAAAACAATTTGCTCAGTCTCTTATTCTGCCAGGGTTTTAATGTTTTCCCTAATCGTTCACTTTTATTTCTAGCTATAAGTTCATTATTATCACTCTCACATGTCCCCTATCAACATTTTCTCAGCCTCTTGACACTTGTCAAATAGACAATCACTTAAATTCTTATCCAATAACCATTCCAATCATCGTGTCATTTAGCATTACGAATTTTTAAGTTTGTCTTAGAAACTACTTCTGAGTGCTTTTATTAATTATGTCAACCCCCCATGTCACCCAATAATAGGCTAATTTACGTTTTCGCTAAATACAAATACTGTTTTAAAGCCTGTGAATACGACGTAATCGATAAAGAAAAGTTTCTTCACTAAATCGTCTTTTAATTCTCGATACTTTCACCTTATCTCACCCTACTGTCTGATTACGCGTGAGTAAATGTATTGAGAGGTGAGTTATTCTAGATTTAATTTTGAATCGTTTACCAGCTGTTAACAACGCCGGAAAAAAAGAGGAAAAATTGGGCATGACACTACTAACCACACTGCTCCTTCTACGTCTAGCTAAATTTCCATGTTCTGACGACCTAACTGATCCCAACCTATTTTCAATTAGCTATGACGTCATCAAATTTATTATTTATTATTGTTCCCTTGGGTACCTAATGGAACATAGGGCTTCAACTGCACGTCTCCATTTGCTTCTGTCTTCTGCTGTACTTTTCACCTGAATCCATGTTAGTCCATAATGTTTCAAATCCTCTTCACACGATCTCCTCCATGTCACCCTTGGACGTCCCACTCGCCGCTTCCCTTTCAGGTCCCACTCGAGCTATGGCCTGACGTGCGATGTCACCCAGCGGGCTCCTCAGCGAGTGTCCAATCCATCTCCACTTTCTTTTGCATATTTGTTGAGCGATTGGTTCCTATTTTGTTTGTTCCCATAGCTTCTTGTTGGTGATTCTTTCCGGCCATCTGATCTTCAGTATAGAACGAAGACAGCTGTTGATAAAGGTCTGCAACAGGCTGTTGGAAATATTCTTGGTGACCCGAGGCCAAGTTTCTGATCCGTATAGAAGAACTGACTTGACGTTTGTATTGAAAATCTGAATTTTTGTTGTTGTTTATGCTGAGTGACGAAGATTTCCGGATTGGTTTCAGGTTGATGAATGTGTTTCTCGCCTTCCTGATTCTCGATTTGACATCCTCGTCCGTTCCTTCTGTGGTTGAGACAATGCTCCCCAGATAAGTGAAAGAAGTAACCTCTTTCAAATCCCTCCCGTTGGTGGTGATTGGCGCTGGATGTTGTTGTTGTTGTTGGTTGGTTATTTTCATAACCTCCGTCTTGTCTATGTTCACCTGGAGTCCTGTCTTTGCTGCTTCTTCGACCAGTTTGTCGGTTTTTGCTTGTAAGTCTTCGATTTTGTGTGACATCAAACATAAATCATCCACGCGCGAAATCCAGGTCTTCTAGGTTCTTCACGTCGGTCCAGGATATCCCTGTCTTCTCGTTTCCCACTATCTGACGACGCATAATCCAGTCCACCACAATTAGGAATATCATTGGTGATAATAAGCACCCTTGTCTGATTCCTGTGTTTACTCCAAACGCTTCGCTGAGTTTTCCGTTGTGGATCACTTGACATGTGCCGTTGTCGTACAGCTGTTGAATAAGGTTGATGAATATTTGGGGTACGCCATAGTACTCGAGTAGTTTCCAAATACCGTCGTGGTCAACGCTGTCGAAGGCCTTCTCAAAGTCTATAAAGTTGAGGTAGAGATTTGATTGCCATTCCATGCTTTGTTCTGTGATGATGATGCGTAGAGTTGCAATTTGGTCAGAAAATGATTTGCCTTTCCTGAATCCGGCTTGTTTCGGTCGGAGTTCTGTGTCCAGTGCGCCTTTTATTCTCTCCAGGATGATGCGACTCAGGATTTTACTTGGCGTCGACAGGAGCCTGATTCCTCGCCAGTTCTTGCAGAGTCCTAAATCGCCCTTCTTTGGTAGTTTCACGTCATTACATGGTATTTAGTAAATTATATTATTTAACCGAATTAGGTATTTCTGATCCATAAGTAGGCGAAGTTCTGAGTTCTCTGAGTGTGAATTGATTGGTTCAAATGCCAACCTAGTCCATGCCTGGATTAAAATCCTCAGTACGGTCTCTGGCTTATCTTCCTTCATACAGGCAGTACTACTGATGTTTTCAACTGCCTGTGATAATTATGATTCTTCTTCATCTCTGTCTGAGTTCTAAGTTGAACATCTGCCTCGAAGCTTTGATATTTCAGTACCCATGCTCAAGTTTAGTTTCCATTAGACTCAATGTCAATCTTCAATCTCTTCGCTGCTAACTACAGGCTAATAATATAAGTGTAGAACTTGAGGACTGTGGTAGAATGTAATTCCATATTAGATAAGATAAGGATCTGGACTTCGCCGATGATATTTGTCTGATTTCCCACAAACTGGAAGATATGTAAGCGAAAAGCAACAAAGATACGACTTCAGGTGAACATAGATAAGACAGAGGTGATGAGGATTCCTGGTCAACACCACCAACAGCAACAACAACAGACAACAATCAGCCAGCAAAAATAGGAGGAACCTGAAAGAAACTACCTCATTTACCTACCTGGGAAGCATCGTTTCAACTACAGGCAGATGGAACTGGTGAGAATATCAAGGCGAGGATCAATCGGGAAAGCAAGACAAGCTTTCACGACTCTCAAGTCTGTGTGGAGGTCAACAGTACTCAGCATCAAAAATAAGATCCGGATTTTCAACTCCAATGTGAGGTCAGTGCTACTCACTATACGAATCAGAGACTTGCACTGCGCGTCATGAAGAGCATCTCAAACAAACTACAGACCTTCATGAACAGTTGTCTTTGCTCAATACTCAAGATCAGATGGCTGGCCAGAAAGGATCAGCAACAGGCAGGGATCTCTGGGAGCGAACCAACCAGGAACCGATTGTGAAACAAATAGGCAGGAAGAAATAGAGATGGATTGGCCATACTCTGAGGAAACCATCAATTGACATCACTAGACAAGCCATTGCTCGAGTGGCACCCGAAAGGGAAGCGGCGAGTTGTTTGTCAGTGCAAGAGTGACTTGGAGGAGGTTATGTGAAGAGGGAATGAAAACGTGTGGGCAGACATCGAGCCAGGTGAAGACTCTAGCAGAGAACCGAACGCAATTGAGACGCACGGCTGAAAGCCCTATGTTCCTCTAGGAATTGAAGGATACAATAATAATATAATAATAATTTCAAGTATCATACAGTGATGATGGAGTATTAACAACTGGATGACAGACAAGGTTTTGAGCAGAAGTTACTGCCACCCATAATCATATCAACTTTAGTTACATGGTTTCACAATTTGTCTCACATATATCTTTTCTCTCTTTCTGTCTATCCAACTCCACCTTGTTGTTTGTTGCCACTTTGCTTATCTGCGGTATAGGTGTTGCGTTCGTTGTTCCAACTGTATGTGTGCAGCTTTGACTCGACGATAAACCAAGCTTCAGTGATTAACCTCTCTCTCTCTGCCTAACTGTTACTTTTTAATATTCTCATCCTAATGAAATTTAGCTAGACGTAGAACAATTGACCCTACGATGTTAAATAACCTCGGAAAAAGATCATCCATTGCATTACATTCACTTGCATGTAATCACAAAATAGGGTGGGTGGGACAGGATGAGAGTATAAAACAATAATATAGTTATTTATAAGATTATATTTGCATGGAGGATTTCGTCATGAGCTGACATCAGTTAGAGAACCACTGGAAAACCTGGGAGTACTGGACGGCTGTTTCTTCCTAGTTTGGGACTCTTCACAGTACTCACCCACACCACGGGGTTCGAACCCAGGACCTTCTGGTTACAAGGCGAGCTCGTAGACCATTGAGCCACTGGGACCCGATCCAATGGTCCTTGAATTCTAACTTCTGCCAATTCACGACATAGCGCGACCATTTCGCAATGTCTTCTTCGATGAGTTACTGTCTCATCTTCAACCTGCTGTACGCTACTGGTCACGGCTTCCCACTAGAACCCCAGGTTAACTGCCTGAATAGGGCCAGTCACTAGTGAGCATCAGATTAATTTTCAAGTATTGGTTTGGTTGGGATTTTGTCTAATTGCATGGAAGTTGAAGATGAGGCAGTAACTAATCTAAGAAGACGTTGCGAAATGGTCGCGCTATGTCGTGAATTGGCAGAAGTTAGAATTCAAGGACCATTGGATCGGGTCCCAGTGGCTCAATGGTCTACGAGCTCGCCTTGTAACCAGAAGGTCCTGGGTTCGAACCCCGTGGTGTGGGTGAGTACTGTGAAGAGTCCCAAACTAGGAAGAAACAGCCGTCCAGTACTCCCAGGTTTTCCAGTGGTTCTCTAACTGATGTCAGCTCATGATGAAATCCTCCATGCAGTTAAACAAAATCCCTACCAAACCAATACTTGAAAATTATATTTGTAAAATCTCAGCGAAATTGAAATGATTAATTCCAACGATTCGTTCGGCTAGAAAACAACTCAGCGATTGCACTGCATTCGATAGAAACGGGACACAAAATCGACTTTGATAAGACTAAGGTTTTACAGAAAGGTTTTGGTTCATATAAAGAAAGACTGACTGCAGAAGCCCTACATATATGGGTGAATCCCAACAGTTTGAACAGACGTGAAGGTGTGATCTTAGCTGATGCATGGCAAATCCTGACTAATAAATAAATTGGATATGTTTCAACAACTAGTCACACTTGATCAAATTCCCGATTGTCTACGTCTTTTTATGGAGAGAATAACAAATCTATAAAATTATATTATATTTGTAAAAAACATCTCAATTATTTTGTAACTATCCGGTCAAATCTTGATCACAGCTCAAATGAGAATAACAAATGTTTTATGACAATTCACCCATACACACATACACACACCATTGTATACTGCATGTACACTGCTTTTGAAAATCTGAGGTCAAATTTTGATCACAGTTCTTAAAAATTTTTTTGTTTTGTTTTGTTTATTATACCTATTGATAGCTGTTTCTTGATTCACATGACAGGACAAACAATTTAAAACAAGAGATGTACTTCTATATATAAACATACAATTTTACTTATTATACATGTTGATGACTGTTGCATGGCTCATGATTGGACAAAGTTTAAAAACAAGAGTTGTTCCTTTTATATATAAACCTCTGTTATGTTAATTTTGATTAATTTCCCTGAAGAAGTTCAGACCAGATTGCCGAACGAAATTTTGGAATTAAGCATTTCAATTTCGCTGAGATTTTACAAATAAAATTTCACAAATGTCTACTTCTCACTCAGCGCTCAATTATTTTGCAACTATCCTGTTAAATCTTGATCACAGTTCATATGAAGTAATATAGTTACGTGAAGAAAGAAAGCGATTAATCACTGTTCATCAAATCAACATCAAAAATGTGCAGTCGGAATAAAGCAACGCCTATACCGGAGGCAAGTAAAGTGGCAACAAACAACAAGGGGAGGTTGGAGAGACAGAAAGAGAGAAAATATATATGTGAGACAAATTGTGAAACCATGTAACTAAATTGAAATGATTATGAGTAGCAGCAATTTATGCTCGAAACCTTGTCATCCAGTTGTTAATACTCCATCATCACTGTGATAATTGAAATACACTTATTTAATATAGAATTTTAGGCTAATAAACCAACCGGGGGCTGAAGAATTCGTTAGTCGGAAATGGAACCGTGAAAAATTTGTGATTAGTGGGCCAACATCCTACCGCTGACCCACTGACACACTCGATGATTATCACCATAAAGGAAATAAGCCAGTAAATAAATGACTTTAATACCTGAAATTTTTAAAATTCCTATAACCCGAAATCACTGACTAATAATCCATTCTTTGCCTCAGTCTATTAATAAAATATTTCTGTAACTAGTTTCTGTCAATTTTTCGAATCTATGAAATCAAAACCCCTCAAATTCTCTGGTATTTTATCCATGATGGCTGTGTTTTTTTGATGCAGTCTTGACTACTTTTTTTCAAAGCATATGGTCTATTTCTGTGAAAGATTAGTTTATGCCGACAAAAAATGACGAATATTTTCTACCAAAAATAGAGACTAAAGAAATACTAGAAAAATGCCCTTGCTTACCAGGATTGATTCCCATCTGTCCGCGAATTGATCCAATGCCTCAGATAAGCGAATCGCATCACTTCTGTGTATGGAGTATTAAAATAAGACAAGAAAAAAAGGAAACATTTAATTTATTACTTCACCGAACACTGTAAGCAGTGACAGATACCGCTGTAAAATACACTGTTTTAGTTTTTCTTTGCATTCATAGTGGAAAATAGGACTTCAGGCTTTAAATCTTGGTGCTTCAACAGTACTGGTGTTTTGTTTAAGGCGTGGAGTTGTTATCGTTGCATCCAAATTTCATCCTCTTCGGTGATTACTACTGGTCGACCGGTAGTCGAATCCTGACCACGGGAGGAGTTCGTTAGCGTTCAACTACTACACAAAGTGGAAATAGACAGTTCACGCTATGAACTGATTTAAATAATTGTAATTTACTGATAATACTCGAAACAGGAGATTCAACAGAGGATACCTCCTTCAATTATCTAGGAAGCATAGTTTCAACTACAGGCAGGAGAAACGGATGAAGATGTTGAAGTAAATAAATTGGAAAGGCAAGATACGTCATCATCAACCTGAAACCAATTCGAAAATCTGCTGCACTCTTCAGCATAAAGAACAAGATTCGTATTTTCAACACCAATGTGAAGTCAGTCAGTTAGTTCTTCTATACGGGTCAGAAACTTGCACTGCGTGTCAGTCACAACAAAGGATTTCCAACAGGTAGCTGCCGACTTTAATCAACAGCTGACCACTTCGCTGGTTCCATACCGAAGATAAAATAGCCGGTCGTGAAGAATTAGGAACAAGAAACTCTGGCTGTCAAAAAACCGACGAAGAGACGATCGCTCAACAAATGTGTGGGAGAAAATAGAGATGGACCGGGCCTACGCTAAGGAGGCCGTCGAATGACATCTCGAGTAGAATCCCAATGGGGAGCGACGAGTGGGTCGTCGCTGAAAGGGTGACATGGAGGAGATCATTTGTGGGGGATGGGACATTATGCTCAATGTGGACCCAGGCAGCTGAAGAGGACGGAAGATAACAGAAGAAAATGCAGATGTTTTGTTGAAGCCCTATGTTCCACTAGGAACCCAAGGAAATAGTAATAATAAATAAGTTAAACCTAGTTTCGGATGGATTACTGAGATACAAGATGCATTCTCTGATTGCTAAATGGAGTTTTAATTTCAAGTGAATATATTGTTGGGTTCGGGTCTTCGTGGGGACACCATCACTTAGTGAGAATAAAAGTACATCAAGATGACAAATCCCAAAGAGGTCGATGCGTGAGACTTGAATTCCACTTCTATTCACCACTAGCCAAGGAATAATCATTGTTTATAGGGCAACCTGAAGACAGAAATGATTGTTCAGCCTGGTTACCTGAGGCAGGTCTGCTCACGTCTAGTTGATTTCCTCATGGCATTATCAATAATGATACATAAGGAATGTAAGATTTAAGCACTGATGTTATCGAGAACCAAAATCAACTGAAAAAGCACTGATAACTAAAGGGTGGACAGTGGAGAGTTATTTAGTCCTAGTTTAGAACTCTTCACCGGTAAGAAGCTCCAGTTCTTCACGAGATGAAGACGATGAAGAACTAGCTCTAAGTAACCCTAGTTGTAATGCGTATGGTATATATATGTAATGCTCTAAAAAACATATTACTAGACCGCTCGATTAGCTAGCCAGAATTTGTGTGGTTTGACATGATTCCTCTCTCTAAGGTGTTTCAAACCAGGTACATTTCTGATGAGCTTTGCTCAAAACTAGCAAAATGACTACCTGGTGTTTAGATCACTCCTTTCTAATTAGCTGGGGAGCACTACTGGTGGATATGGAGAGGGGGTCAAAAACTGCTCATTTCAGTTATTAAGTGGTATATAGCATCATTCAGCTAGGTTAAATAACCATTTTGCGATCACAAAGTGATTGGCATCTTAAGGCAACATAACATTCTTCGACTATTGAGACAAGAACTCGATAACACAGAAACCATGGAGTTGTTGGGAGGATAAAAGGTTTTAATAACGGAATCAGCCGAATAACAGCAAGCTTACAAGTTTGATTACAGCCTTACATCAGTTAGATAACCATCGAAAACGAGGAAGTACTGGACACCTTTTTCATGACCCCATTAGTTATCGAGTTCAGATCCTCAGGTAATATAGTGAGATCGTTGGCTGTTCAGTCAATGGGACGGGAGCCACGGGTCGGTGAATCTCAACTTTTATCAGTGAGCGTCTTATAGAGTCCTCGCTAATCAGTGTCATTGGCGTGTGGTTGTCCTCACACCTGACCTCGTGGACTTCATGGATCAAGACTTCCCACTAGATTTTTTGTCCTGTAGTTAGTCAGTAGTGTAGGGATTTGATTGGTTTAAAGTTTATTCACGGATTGAAATCCGTTAAAAGACCATTAGAAGCCATGGAGTACTGCAAATCTATTTCGTCCTAGGACGAGACGTCCAGTGTTTAGTAAAATCCTTCAAAGAAAACATTTGAAAACCAGTTTTGTAATTCGTCACAGTGCTCCTGTAAATAATGCTAAAATAGCTTGAAGAAGTCGAAAATGGTCTTAAGAGTCCAAAAATGTGAACATTAAAATGTATCGTCTTATACTGTTCCATGTAAACATTTATTATTTATTGAATAAGGCATTAAGAAGACAAATTTCGCGAGATCATATCATTTCGTAGTTTCTTTACAACCGCTTTACAACTAACATGCTTCACAATAAGAAAATAAAGTTAATGACAATTACTCAGTTAAATAAAAAAAACAAAAGTACATACTAATTACGAATCATGTTCAGATAGGTCAAGTAGTCCAGGGTAGGCGAAGACTGAAGTCTATTGAATTTTGTACACACAGTTTAGGCTGTATGTGATTAATCCAAAGTGCTTCCATCACCTTCAATAACCTTGAATTATCGTTATGTGAAATAATTGTGAAACAGTCATTAATATTGATTTTGTGACCTGACATTAATAACTGTTTTGCAATGGATGATACTGGATTTCTATTCAGATTACTGGCATTGGGATTTTCTATGTGATTTAGTAGCCATTTTGGAGCATGTTCTTTCCGACGACATTGGAACATTCTGTTGGTTCTACTTATATAGGTGTCACCACAGCTGCAGGTGAACTTGTAGATACAGTTTGAAGTAGAGTCCACAGAATTTCGTCCTTTAATCGTAGGTACGTGGATCGAAAATGTTCGGCAGGTGAGTAAAGGAGATGCGGCGTAGAATGTGCGTTTGATGACTGACCGAAGTCTTTGTGCTGTCAACTGCATAATCTGGTCACTCTTGAATGGTAGGTATGTACTTCTGTTTTTTTATTTAAGTGAGTAATTGTCATGAACCTTATTTTATTATTGTTAACCATGTTAGTTATAAAGCGGTTGTAAAGAAACTACGAAATGATATCATCTCGCGAAATTTGTCTTCTTAATGCCTTATTCAAATTTATCAAAGGGACTAATTGTTTTAATTTATTGAATAGTTAGGTAAAGAAACAAATGAATCCACTTTAATTATTTTAGTCTATTCAAATTTCTTTTACTGTACAGATTGGTTAGTTTATAATACCTGGCTGACAAGGCCTAACAGTAGAATTCAAGAGGATCATTTTATCCTATTTAAGAGACATATCAGCTGGAGGTACTAACATCCGCAGTAAGTCGTGGTGTTTCTACTAGCTCTCGAATTCAGGACATATCGTCTCAGTATCTAAAGCATCATCCGCCAGACTATACAAGGTTTCCATATCCGCCTCTTTTCTTTAATTTCGTATTCCAGTGAATTTTGTTCCTTCACGTTCCTCAGTGGAACATAGGACTTCAAGCTAGTGGCTTGAAGTTTCTGTAGCAGTGTTTATTTTACAGGATGGGGTTGCTAGCCTCATGCCCAACCTTTCCTCTTCACCAGCATTATTTCTGGCTTAGCAAGATAAAAGAGTGCGTCCAGTGGCCGGGGATCGAACCCCGGACCATGTGCATGGTCGGTGAGCGTCCTAACCGCTGTGCCACCGATGCACATCGTCTTTTATTGCTCCATGTAAATATTTATTAGGCGCGTTTCGCGTCAAATTTTCGAACATCACCCTGTCTGGTTAAGCAAAAGACAAACGAATTCTATTCGCAGCGCTATTTTGTCTTATCTTGTGGAGACAGAACGCAAGATTAATGTTAACCAGGCTTTCAGGGTCATTTACCGCATACCTACGAATCTCAACTTTGCTTTAAGAGTTCGACTACTAAATATTGCTGAGGCTGTTGGGATCCACATTAAGAAGCCTAATTTGTGCATCCAAAAGAAGTTAGTACAGAAGTTATCATTACCTTGCCCATCTAGGTTTGAATAATCCGGAATTTTTGTGAAATTTTCCTAATTTAGTTAATATTCTATTCGCTATTATATCTTTATTATTATTATTATTATTATTATTATAATTTAAGCATCTTTAATGAACTGTAATTCCACTGATGATCTTACTTTACAAATCGATATTATTTAAAACACGCTAATATTGTGACTGACTACTATTCTAGAATATTCTATGTATATAAACATATATAGATAGAATTGTAGAGCCAGAGGAGGAGGAATTTATCGAAAAGAATATTCTTTGCTCGGTTATTTTGTGTTTTACAGATGTCTGAATGAATATTTTTGCTATATTATTTATTGAATACTAAGGTAAAGAAACAAATGAATCCACTTTACTTATTTTAGTCTATTCAAATTTCTTTTACTGTACAGATTGGTTAATTTATATTATCTGGCTGACAAGGGCTAGCAGTAGAATTGAAGATGCTCCTTTTGTCCTATTTAAGAGACATATCAACTGGAGGTACTAACATCCGCAGTAAGTCGTGGTGTTTCTACTAGCTCTCGAATTCAACACATATCGTCTCAGTATCTAAAGCGTCATCCGCCAGGCTCTAAAAGGTTTGCATATCCACGTCTTCCCTTTCAGTTCATATTCCTGTGAATTTAGGCATCTTCAAATTAAATTGTATAACTTATGAATAACTACATAGAGAATCACCGTGTAACTTATTGCTAAGAGATGGGAGAAACACCAGTAAAAATTATCTGTATTGGTGATAACTAGTAGTGGAATTCTCAATGTGCGCTTCGTCCCATTTATGACACATCATCTGAATGTCCGTGCATTCACAGCAGGTGTTGCAAGGCTATCTCACTGAGACTGGAGCCCTGCAGCTAACATTTTAAACGCCAAAAAAATGTCAAGTAGGTCGTGAGATACACTACTTATGTAACAGGCATAAGTTGTAATTTGTTTTTTAAGATTATTTGCTTTTTCTGTTGATTGACGCAGAGCTGGCATGTAAACAGAACAGAGACGGAGAATTTCAGTCCAGTATCATATCGGCCACCGAGAAATATAAAACATTTCGCCAATAATTGCCACGATCTAAAATCTTCAGTGTGAAACAGGTTAGCGTATTCACTCCTTCACCACTACAAAAACACAGTAAGCCAGTGTGACATTTTTTAATTTTTATGTCAATGTACTTTTAAATGTTTCACAAGAAAGAAAAACAAGTTGACCTAATTGACGAAAACACAGCATGAAAATTGTGATTACATTGACTATGCGAGTTTAAGTATTACAAGGATTTACATATATATATATATATTGATAGTAGATAGTTGGACGTAATCGGTAGGAAGCCCAGCCTGACCTCGGTTTCGTGATAGTTGGCACTCACAAGTCAGTAAGGCATATGCACAACATTGAAGGAACTCATGTCCCTCCTTCTGAGATTCGAACCCACGTCAACTAATGCTGCAGTCGGTCAGAGACTTTACCAGTGAGCTATTCGGCGTGATGACTGACCACACTGTTTAGTGTCCAGTTCTTTGTTTGGTGGAGACTAGTTAGTAACTAGTGTCCAGTCAAAAGTGTGCATATATATTATTTGGAAGTTTGATCTTATTGATTTTAAAGTGTAAAAGTAAAAGTTAATCTAGTGTGATAACTTTAAAACATTGACTTCTGTGGAATTACCTCCTACCAGAGTAGTGCGATTAAATGAAATTCAATGTATTCATGGAGCAAAAGAATAATATTTCTAGGGGACCAAGTTAAACTTTTTGTTTCAGTAATTACCAACGAACTGCGTCTGAACCAATGATCTTGAATGGTTCAATGAGTTCCATTCGCTTGACTTCAAGCTTTTATTCGGCCTGATTCGAGTAAAAATGCTTATTCTAAAGATGTTAAGTCTTGAATTTGGTGAAGACTAAGTGCACCAGTATTGCTTGGAGGTGGAGTTGATTAAAAAACGAAGGATTTGTTCATGTGGAAGTGTCATGAGTATACAAAGCTTCAGTAGGTTGGTTGATGGGCATGTACATCATTGTGGAATTTGTTCAAAATGATTTAATGTGAAGGAAAGTAAGCTGATGGTTACATTATTTCCTAAGAACATTTTGTTTGCTGGATCTTATCTGTCATTAACCCAGATATTTATATATTTGTAATTACTGGGGTTTAAAATGGGCTGTGAAAGCCGCAGTTGTTTAAAAAGGAAATAGTCTCGTTTCAACAGTTAAGTGGTACCAGTACTACGGAGATATCGCACCTTGGTGAAACGACGATCTACAATACACATCCATGGTATATACTCATCGAAGAGTCAACCATTCTAATGATTTTGTGGATCCTTTTACAGGGACCAACACGAATTCCATCGAGGGATTTTAGAGAAGGTTGAAAAACAGGATGAGAGACATTTAGGGATCACAGAGTAATGTTTTTTTACAGGTAGTAAGATGAATGCAGAGATCTCTTAGAGCGAACCAACACAGCAGGAACCGATTGTGAAACAAATAAGAAGGAAGAAATGGAGATGGATTGGCCATACTCTGAGGAAACCATCAAGTGACATCACTAGACAAGCCATTGCTCGAGTAGAACCCGAAAGAGAAGCGGCGAGTTGGTCGTCAGTGTGAGGGTGACTTGGAGGAGGTCATGTGAAGAGGAGATGAAAACGTGTGGGCAGACTTGGGACCAGACAAAGACTGTAGCAGAGAACCGAACGCAATGGAGACGCACGGTTGAAGCCGTATGTTCCTCTAGGAATTAAAGGAAACAATAATAATATAATAAGATGAATGCATGTATAGGTTAAGGTGTAACTCCTCTACTGATACTCCTACGGAAAACTGAGGGGGGTGCAGTTTTATCACACGTCAAAGAAAGGTATTCTCTGTAACACTTGCATACAGCTTTTATGCATTTTTTCATAAACAAGTGTATTTTATAGGCAATATAGCCGATTTCATGTGATGGGTACGTTACAGGTCATTCACCGATTTGGGGTTACTAGCGCTTAAAGTTTAACTTTACCTCCTATGGCTCAGACGACTTGGATATATTTGGTGACTGGAAGCATTCAGCAGGATCCCCTAGCGCCACGTCCAACCTTGCCTCTTTTTCTGATCTTAGGTTCAGTTAGTAAACTATTGAACTAGTAAACTGAGTGAGGTAAGATAAGATGGTTCAAAACGATAAGTGGCCCAGAACTTTGTTAACTAACCAATCAGAAAGTAATATAGGTAGGTGGAGAGAGACAGACGTTGGTTGCTGAATCCTGCCTGGTTCATCGAGTCTACACAACCAACACAACATATGCGATAGAAGTGACTCAACGCAAATACCAGAGATATGGAAGATATTATGACCACCAGTCAAATCAGAGGAGCATAATAAATAATGTTTAAATGTATTTCAGTTCAATTAACATTATAAAATTCTAACAAGTTATTTATTTATTTTACCACAAAAACATCTAAATTGTATTTTATTGATAACGCTAATATTCAAAGAACTTTTAATGCTGGAGAACTACATGTCTTATTCTCTACAAGACCGATGGTGATTCCTCGACTGAAAGGTGAAGTACCTAGACTAGCCACTTCTTCTAATTGTATCTACCAATTCAACTGCGCTTGTGCTGGAGCGAGTTATATCGGCAGTTGCTCTAGGAACTTGATTTCTCGTACCCGAAAACATCTCCCACTTTGGCTAAGTAAAGGTGTAGTGAAAAATATCAACAGTTCAATATTGGACTATCTGGTGCAAACTGGCCACAAAGCCAGCATGGAAGAATCATCGAAGCACCGCATGCTCCAAACAGCAGAGGTTATTGCAATTCGCCTCGAAAAACCAGTGCTCTGCGTGCAAAAGAAGCAAGTACAGCTTGCCCCTCACTACTTCCCTGGCCTTCAGTACAGACTATAAATTGATGAATTTGTAATATTATCTTTCCTAATTTTTCTGACATTCAGCTTATTTTTATGTTGATGCCATTGAACTGCAATTTCTTGATATTATTGATTCGATGTTATTTAAACAACATTAATCTTGTTTATAACACGAATTCATTCATTCACTATAATGTATATATAACTGTAGAGCCTGAGGATGAAGGGGTTATCCAAAAGAGTATTATATGTTCAGTATCCATTCTTTTGAAAATGTCTAATCGCATCAATTTTTACCCATGTATATAAATGAAGCAAGAAAGTTGTGTGAATGAGTGACTTCATATGATTATGAGTGGCAATGATAAATTGTGCTTGAAATGTGGTTATCAGTTAATATTACTGTATAACAACACTGTGATTTTATCAAAATAACAAATTTTTATCCCTAATGGAGTTATACTCTACCACCAGAGTGCCCAAGTTTTATACTTATATCAATATTTCATTTGCTTATTAGATTATTTTACAAACATAATCAGACCTTAATCAACAAGTGTCTTCGATCTATACACTGACGATCAGATGGCCGGAAAGAATCACCAACAAAAAGCTATGGGAACAAGCAAAACAAGAACCAATCGCCCAACAAATATGCAGGAGAAAGTGGAGGTGGATTGGACACTCACTGAGGAGCCCGCTGGGTGACATCACGCGTCAGGCCCTAGCTCGAGTGGAACCCAAAAGGGAAGCGGCGAGTGGGACGTCCAAGGGTGACATGGAGGGGATCGTGTGACGAGGAGCTGAAACAGTATGGACTAAGGTGGATGCAGGTGAAAAGTACAGCAGAAGACAGAATCAAGTGGAGACGTGTAGTTGAAGCCTTATGTTCCACTGGGAACTCAAAAGCACAATAATAATACAGACATAATCAAACTTACATATCAATAGAATTCTTTGGAGTCATCTCTGATGGATTAGAAGAGTAGGTTGACACCATTTGAATTGTTGAATTATTATCCTTGTCATGAAGTATTTCTGTTATTGAACTTTGTGGAGTTACAATCTGTGGTATTTCAAATTTCACTGCAGCATTGTCTTCTTGTGAAAAACCTTTTTTTTAAAAAAAAAATTAAATTAAACTAGAATTTTATTTAAATATATTTAATTACCAGTTTGGTTTGATGTTCTATTGATTGAACCATGTGAAGTGGTTGACTTCTTCCCATGCATATAATAGGCGTATTGACGTTCACGGGTTTCATACAACCGGCGGGTTGCATGTTTTCGTATGACAACCTGTTAAGATGAAAAAAAGATGCTAATATTACAGTATGCATATAAGTGAGGGGGTTAATAAAACAGTATGCTAAAATGAGGGTTTGGAGGTGCATTTCCCTTTAATTGATTACTTTGGACCGGAATGCTTGATGTTTGCTGGTATGTCGACTGCCAATATGAGTGCTTCTACGGTTTCTGAGGATTACTGTGCAGTTTGATTGGCGAATGGTGACTTAGGAAGGATGCTCACTTCATTCTAATTGGGACTCGTAACCTGGATATACCAGTGAATGATAAGACCAGGCATCATCAATTAATAGGAAATGAAAGTTGTGTTTGAAATGTTGGGTTTAGGGTTCGAGGCTTAGCTGGAATATCATCACTCACTGGGAATTCAGGTATAGTCAGATGACAAGTCTTCACTAGGACGAAATGCGTGTCCTGGACTACACTGCTAGTCAACATGAACCTAAAACAGCATCTATAAACTTCATGAAGTTACACTACTGGACTTCAACTGAACGAGTTTGCCAGTGACTGTGAATGAAAAAATCACAGTAAATTACTAAAAGAAGAGTCCAGAAAAATAAAGAAATACTGAAAAAGTTGCCTTTCGTAAAGATGTGGAGAGTAAAACTCCTAATCTTTATTAGAGTGTCAGTGTGTCAAAAGCCAAATGTTGAACTTTTCCTCTTTTTCTGAGCTTAGGCCGAGTAGTAAACGCGTTAAACTGCAAAATTCGAGAAGATAAGTTGGTGGCGGGAAAGAATAGACAATAAACAACTTAAACGAGTAACAAATTGAGAATCTGTTGGCCAACAAATACACAGGACACATTAAAGATAAATTGGTAGCACCCACGAGACTAAGAATTGAGTGGAGCCCGAGTGAGAAACAACGATCCTGGTTTGAGATTTAGGATATTATCACCTGTTTGAAGAATTCTGTACGAATGCTGCATTTGAAGAAGAAGTATTTATTAGTGTACAGAAGCGACTGATATAAGATTCTCGATACACTTTGCCCGTGTGCGTTGGTGGCATAGCGGTTAGGACGCTTGCCGACCACGCAAATGGTCCGAGGTTCGATCCCGGGCCGATGCACTCCTTTACCTCGCCAGGCCAGAAATAATGCTGGTAAAGAGGAAAGGTTGGGCATGAGGCTAACAACCCCATCCTGTAAAATAAACACTGCTACAGAAACTTCAACCCTGTAGCTTGAGGCCTTATGTTCCACTGGGAACGTGAAGGATATATATATATATATACATATACAAGGAATTCACACATCAGTTTCCACAAATACAGATGTTTTGCCTCATTAAATTATGCCTTAGAGTGAAGTTCCGGGATGTAGGTAGAGTGTATATATATATATTTCCTTCACTTTCCCAGTGAAACATTGGGCTTCAAGCTAGTGGCTTGAAGTTTCTGTATCAGTGTTTAATTTTTACAGGATGGGGTTGCTAGTCTCATGCCCAACCTTTCCTCTTTACCAGCATTATTTCTGGCCTGGCGAGGTAAAGGAGTGCATCGGCCCGGGATCGAACCTCGGACCATTTGCGTGGTCGGCAAGCGTCCTAACCGCTATGTCACCGATGCACACATGAATTCCTCGTAGACTGATTTAATTGGAGCAGTTTGCTAGTAATGATGTTTCACACCGACACTGTGGACATCCTCGCTTATCACGAATGCAGGCACATCCAGATGATGAGCTTCAAATATCTGTGAAGCACACCATTATCCATCAGATAAGGAAGACTTTATGTTAACAGAGATTCGAGTACATACCAACCATTACTTCAGTCATAGAAAGATAGTCCCAGAACCTTCTGGTCTGTTGGTACTGATTCCACATACTACTGATATCAGACAGATGTGGAACCTACAAACACTTTATATCTTTGTAATACATTTCATTTCGTAAGAACAGACGAATACGTCGGACCGATAAGAAAACTCTGGATGATTTGGATTTCACGGATGACTTATTTCTGATGCCCCACAAAGTCGAAAACTTAGAAGCGAAAACTGGCAAACTGGCTGAAGAAGCGGCGAAATCAGGACTCCAAGTGAACATAGGGGAGATAAAAATGACCGGTAAATTATGAAAACCAACACCAGTCACTATCAACAAAATATATTTGAAGGAGGTTACTTCCTTCGCTAGTCTAGGAGGCTTCGTTTCAACTACAGGCTATAGGGCGGTGAGGATGTCAAAGCCACTTGAGATCGGAAAGGCAATACGGACCCTGATCACTCTGAAATCAGTTTAGAAATCTTCCGCACTCAGTCGGCATGAAGAAATGAATTCGGATTTTCAACACAAGTTAGTTTTTCATTGTGGATCAGAAACTTGGGAATCGCGTCAAGATAGGTCTTCCCAACAGCCAGTTGCAGACTTTTATCAACAGTTGGTTCCATACTGAGTATCAAATAACCAGATAGAATCATCACTATCAAACTCTGGAAACGAACTAATCGAGAATCTACTGCTCAGCCAGTATTTCAAAGAAAATGTAGATAAATCAAACACATACTGAGGAGACGTCGAATTATATCGCCCGTAATGCTGGACATCGCTCGATTGGAATCCGAATGTTAAATGAAAAGTTAAGCCTGTATCCGAGGGTGAGATGAAACAGGTCGTGTTAGGAGGAGATGAGAGACTATGGATAGTCTTGCAGCCAGCTAAAGAGGATAGCAGGGGATAGAATAAAGCTGGTAATGTGTGGCTGAAGCCCCAGGGGAGCCATAATAATAAGTTCCACAAACTATCTTGTAAGATTTATATCCTACAATACAGTAATATTTTTCTAATTAAAATTTAGTAATTACTTACTATTCTACCATTGATGTAATCAATTTTAAACATAATCGTAAATCGTAGATATCTATCTACCGGTTATTTAGATGATAAACGACACGAATTCATTGTGAAAACGAGGACATCAGTTATCAAAACTACTTAACAAATTCTCATTAGCGAACCACTCGTAAGATTGACAATAACACGGTTTTATTATGAATTACGTAATCTGTCAATTTCTCTACATTTTTATATTGCTGATTTATCACACAACTAAATCATTCAAACACAATGATGACCATATATTACCTGCATAAACAAAGATAGATGAATAGATAGGTAGATAGGCAGGCATGTTTATCTTGTAATGGAGTTTGTATTTTTCACTTTGCACAGACGGGTTATTGGTAATGAATGAACACTACAAAACTTAATGTAAAGTAGTACATCTTGTTTCTTCGCCTTCTTTATACTGTTCTCCTAATTATATTATTATTATTGTTTCCTTTAGTTCCTAGAGGAACATAGGGCTTCAGCCGTGCTTCCCTATAGCATTCGGTTCTCTGCTAGGGTCTTCACCTGGCTCCATATCTGCCCACACGTTTTCATCTCCTCTTCACATGACCTCCTCCAAGTCACCCTTGCACTGACAACCAACTCGCCGCTTCCCTTTCGGGTTCCACTCGAGCAATGGCTTGTCTAGTGATGTCACTTGATGGTTTCTTCAGAGTATGGCCAATCCATCTCCATTTGTTCCTGTATATTTGTTTCACAATCGGTTCCTGGTTGGTTCGCTCCCAGAGATCTCTGTTGCTGAACTTGTCTGACCCGCCATCTGATCTTGAGTAGTATTGAGCGAAGACAACTGTTAATGAAGGTCTGTAGTTTGTTTGAGACGCTCTTTATGACGCGCAGTCCAAGTCTCTGATCCGTATAGTGAATAGAACTGACTTCACATTGGAGTTGAAAATCCGGATCTTATTTACGTTTTCGTGCTGAGGGGCGTTGACCTCCAAACAGACTTGAGAGTAGTGAGAGCTTGCCTTGCTTTTCCGATTCTTGCTTTGATATCCTCGTCAGTTCCGTTAGCAGGTAATTGAAACGAGGCTTCCCAGGTAGGTAAGAGTGGTTGTTTCTTTCAGGTTCCTCCCATTTATGCTGATTGTTGTCTGTTGTTGTTGTTCTTGTCCAGGAATCTTCATTATCTCTGTCTTCTCTATGTTCACCTGAAGTCCTTCCTGTCTTTGATGCTTTTTCTGCCAACTTGCTGCTTTTCAGTTGCATATCTTCCAGTTTATGGGAAATCAGACATATATCATCGGTGAAGTAGATATCCTCCAAGCTTTTGTGTGAGTCCATTTTATGCCTGTTTCATCATTGCCTACTGTTTGTTGCATTATCCAATCTACTGCAATAAGGAAAATCATTGGCGATAGTAGGCAGCCTTGTCTTACTCCTATTCTCACTTCGAAGGATTCCGTAAGTTTCCCATTGTGGATTACTTGGCAAGCAGCATTGTCATACAGCTGTTGGATGAGATGTATAATTGTCGGTGGCACCCCGTAGAAGTGAAGTAGTTTCCAAATCACCTCTCGATCGACGCTGTTGAAGGCCTTTTCAAAGTCGATGAAGTTGAGATAGAGAGGTGACTTCCATTCCAAGCTGTGTTCAAGGATGATCCGTTATGTGGTTCTAATCCATATATTATAACACTGGGTTGTGCTTGAGAAAACATTAAACTCAATAATTTTTATATAATTCTTTAATTTTGTTGTTATTTGCATTTCTCCGTATGGAAAATGAAACAAGGAACATTCATTTGAAAAAAGAGTTTTAATAAATCTTGAAATATTGAACAAACTACTTTTCTTTAGGATATTTCAAGAGGAAACCTACCTTTTTCGTTAGAGCGTCGTTATTTCATTCAGGTGTTAGTCATATATTTTCAAGAGTTAGACTGTGGTTTAGGTTAGCCTTAGGTTAAGAAAAGATTAAGGTTCCTTTGAAGTGTCCATTAACATCGATATTATTGATTTCAAATTCTATCACAGACTGATTTCATTTAAAGAACCACTGAAAACTTCATAACTGCACTAGGGATCGTACCCAGGACCTTCAAGTTACAAGATGAACTTGTTGACGTCTCAGTCACTGGAAACGTTCATGTTCAAGCCTCAGATCAATCAAACTATGCAAACTAACCTAGT